AAAGCTAAGAAGTATTTCCCGATATATCCAATCAGTATCAACAAAGTAGCCAGTTATAGCTAAAAATGCCTGAGAAAACGGGGATGTCCAACTGTCAAGCGCAATTGATATTTTTGAATCTGAAAGAAGCATCCTAAGAACCCTTTATTGCTGATCTTTGACTAGTACTTCTAGCCGGCGACAGATTGTCATTGCAGATGGGACTTGTGACACAGTCAGTACATTGTAGACTATCTAAATCAAGCTTGTAAATGTTAGATGCTCGATTAGATTGAAAGGAAGCCGATTAATTGTAAAAAATGATAAGATCTTTTCTTCCCAGGCTGGTTGTAAGAAAGGAATATCGGTTAAAACAGATTTCTAATAAGATAATTGTTTATTAGTTAAGGAAGTATAGTAATAGAACATTAAATATACCTTTTTTTGAAGAAATTTCGTAATTTCATTTTTCTGTCTGTTTTCAAACCGTTGGCATGCAGCAGTCTTTAAGTGCCTTATTATTGTTAATAAACTATAACGTTTTTCTTTCCCTTTAGTATCCTTTTTTGCCGAGTAAGGATGTTCAAGGATCTGACTGCAACGTTTGCACATAACCTTTGGTGTACCATCTATACTAGAGGCGACCTGATCATAGTGCTTCCAAATATCTGAAAGGTAATTTGAGTCCCAATGTATCTTACTTTTGGACCCATAATCAGTTTGTAACTACCAGTCTACCCATTCACTATGAATCATTTCGTTGTAAAACACATATGCCTTTCTTCGATCGGGTCCGACGCGTTCAAAAGAAGATGGAATTGTCAGAGGAATAGTGTGACGGTCTACAAAGGAGCTCAGTAAAAGACAAGTTTGTTTATGACTCGTAGTCATGGAATTTTCCCATGGAGAGGAAAGGCTATCTAGGAGCGAGGATCTAGGGCCTCTATGTACTGCCTGAGGTTCCGCCTCGGGCAGGACTATATCCAGGAAGGTTTCTCCATACCGGGAAGTTCGTTGGCTCAGGAAGTCAATCCAGGAAGTTCCCTGATTTCAGGAAGTCACATACTAGAGGTAAAACAGCCTATTCCATTAACAGATATTCATCCCTTTTGGAGGCAAAATATAGCACCAGACAATCTCTCTGAGTATCTACCATTACTTGAACCTCAACTGCCTATACCGAAGGCAAAAAGATCAGAAAAAAAGAATAGAAATTCGGATGAATTAGGGGTGGAAAAGGGAACTTCGACTGCAGCTGCAGCAGGCAAGAAAAAAGCACCTTCTAAATGCTCAAATTGCGGGGAAATTGGGCATACTATCAGGTCATATAAAGTATAATAAATTCAATCAATTTGTATAGCAACTTGAGGCATCTTTATCATAGAAAAAATGATAAATATCAATTCATTTAATTACATGAAGTTCGATTGTTGTGAGATTACATAAAAACTAATATTAGATAATCAGTTTTGTGGTGCCGTTAGTTAGTAAAAAACTGTGCTGTCCCTATCAATTCCCCCGTTTTATGCGGGTATTACATAATTTGTGGTGTCGCTATTAAAACGTGTGGTGTCTATTGATTCCCGCCCTTTCGTCTCGCCTTGTTTTGGTATGTCGGAATTCCAGTTGCGGTCCCTATAAACTACTGAATCCCATCCGACTGATTTGATTTTTCCGCCAAGCTCGCGCCTCTCGGATCCGACCATTCACATGAAACATGCTGATTCCTCGATGGCGTCTCGCCTGTTCACATCCTCATCTTCGACACGGAGTCCTACTCACTCAGTCGCGCCTCAGCCTACCAAGTCGGATCCCAGCGAGCCATAACCACACTCAAGCCACGAATTCCCGAACCAAACAAGATGCCGTTCCTCGTGACACAACTGCCAGCCAGAGACCCATTGCATCACTACTTGAGTGGTTTCGACGTTCTCAAAGCCGACGGCCATATACCACCCAACTGTGCCTTACACCGCTGATATTCTGTCTGGGCGACTTTTCCGCACAAATGATAGGAGACGATGATGGATTCGACTATTATCGCTCGCTGCGGAGTGCCATCGCCGGACTTGTGATAGCGATTCCTACTTATAAATGGTTCCTGTTCCTCGGGCGGCGGTTTAATTACAGCTCGCCCGCTCTGTCTCTGGGGGCGAAGGTCGCTGTCAACCAATTCGTTTATACTCCGCTGTTCAATGTCTATTTTTTTGCGGCTCATGGACTCCTCGCTGGGGAGGGGCTTTGGGGTGCAACGGAACGAGTGAAAGATAAGGCATCTATCAGTATCCCCAGAAGCTTTCTGTTTTGGCCTTTCGTGACGGCATTCAACTTTACATATATCCAACCCCAGTCGCGGGGGATTGCGACGTCGATAGGCTCTGTTTTCTGGCAAACATACTTGAGTTGGTTGAATAGTTCTCGAGAGGGGAAAGGAAAACCCACTGCCGTGGAAGGCTGAAGTCGTCAATCAATGAAATAAACGTCTTGCAACATATTTCTCTAGATAAATATTAGATATCCTGTGAGAGAATATAAGAGAAGGTATTCTGTTGACTTCAGTATCGGGCGGCGGCACTGGTCCACATACCCACTCGGGGCCCCGCTGCAGATCTAGCTTGTCTCTAGGCCTCATGTTCAACTTACTGTGTATAGTACTCCGTAGCGGGGACCCTAAAATCTTTTGATATCCTATATGCTATATCCTATTCTGGCGTCCTACGGCGACGGGATATTAGCTAATCGAGCCGGGTTAACTCCTAGGGGGTTACCCCTCGCGGCTCTCTCTACCTCTGGCCATCGGCAACCTCACTCCTCTTCGTTTCTTTTCATTCTTTGGAAATCAGACATTTCCGCTCGGTTGAGGCCCTGCCTTTAGTCTATATCTATATTTATATATATATATACATACTAAATACGTGTCGCTATGTCAGACGAAGAGCAGCATGGACGGATCGTCGCTCGACCCACCAGTGCAGAGGCCTCCTAACTGTGGCCGCGTGAGATGACTAATCCGCTTATATCATCGCCTTGCTTGACCGGACCGATCATGCAACCGATCAATATAAAATCGTATGATTTATGACGATATAGATCATGCAATTCCGCTCATTTTATGACGATCCTGAAGCCCTGAGACTGCATAAATATTGGCTTCTTTATCGTGTAGTTAGAAAGAATCAAGACCTTCATTCAGTTGAAAACGATCCTATTCCTTAGTTGAATAATCGCTTCTCGGTAGACCCACATATTTCTGCCACACTAACTGTCACGGCCAGCGCGCGGCCGTGATCACGAGGTTACTGCCGCAGTTCTGACCGCCTGCGTTATGTGGACTAGCGTCTGGCAAGGTTATCCCACAACACCACGAACCACGATCCTGTCAATATTTTCCTCTCCATGCTTAGATTTCTAAAATATAGCGCCAGATATTTAAATGAATGTCTATTTAGGCTTGCCGTCTTACTAACTTCCACAGATCCGTCACGAACCCCCCCCAAGCCTACTTAACAGGCTCTCTATGGCTCTCGATAGCGACCATCATCATATGCATGCATCGTTTCGCTGTCCCTCACGCTGGTCCGTGGGTCCTTGTCGCCGTACGGGTTCTCTTCTGGACCTACGCTGCTATCACCGTAACGTATAACGTCGCAATCTTCGTCGTCATGTTTGTTGTTCGCCCCCTCAAGCCTGGCACTATGAGCTCGCTAATGTTTCTGATGATTTTCAACGCCATGCTGACCGGCATCGTCGCGTCGTGTATTGCGGCACCTCAGCCTCTCGCAACGAATGGCGATCATCGTTGCCGGCATTGCCTTTCAGGGTCTGGGTTGGATCTTGTGTCTTCTCTTTCTTCCGCTCTTCGTGGGCAACCTGCTCATCAACGGTCTCGGCCCGGCAAGCCAGAGACCCGGACTCTTCATATCCGTGTGTTCCTCAGGATACAACATCGTGGCTCTCATTGGGTGCGCCAGGCTCCCCTCCGACTACGGATACTTCGCGAAGCACCCCACTGCTGCAGAAACCCTGAATGTCGTGGCATTGTGGATCTGCATCTTCCTTTGGCTGTTCACATTCTAGCTGTTCGCGATTGCGCTGGTCGCTCACTTGCCTATTATAATTTCCAAATGCGGCAATAATAACATGTCGCAGCCTCAGATGAGTTTCACCCTTCCTTGGTGGGTCATTGTCTTCCTGAATGTTGGCTTCACTATTGCCACGATTTACATTGGCCAGGAGCTGGAATCCGACGCCATAGCTTGGGTGGCGACAGTCATGACCGTGCTGGTCTTTGCGGCATGGCTCATGGATTTATCCCTGCGTCTAAAGTCTATATTTCAGAGATGCATCATGTAACAAATGTTGGAAAATAGATAATACCTACACAAACAGCTGCTGGCGTGCTTAGCCTTTATACTTATCTATAATACAAGATTCTTGATTATAAGACTAGAAAAGATATATATTTTCGAGTCTAGTTAGTATAAGATTATAAATACAAATATGAGCTTGGAGATGGATAAGTAGAGATATATTTAATTTTTGAGATGACGGGAATTCAAATATTCATATGTAGAGATAAGTAGAAATTTTGTGCCAGGGTACCTTCAACGCTTCATACTCCTATCAGGGCAAGTGGCCGTATATCATTTGCTATCACAGTGGCGATCAGTGGTCGAATTTTACGTGAGATCGCAAAGGAGAATATCTCTGAGAGCATCTGGTAATCTGGTACCTAATGAATAATCCGGGCGAGGGCAATAGAAACTAGTGCAACCCAGTCATACGTAGGGTACAGGCGGCAGACAATACGGCTACGCCTAGCCTTCCGCTGGACGTTGATTACTACTACTGCTACTACTACCACAATAGAAACTTGAAGATGGAATTCATTTCAGAGCATCCGTCATGCAAGTTAACTAGAATCTCCACCCCAGACATAATAACATTGCCCCTTGTTGAAGAGAGAGAACAGCGCATTTAGCATTTCCCCTTGTTGAAAGAGAGAAACTGTCACCAGTCTTCTAGCCCTTGAGCTCCGAAGGGATGTCGACACACTTGGGGTGCAGCTCGATATTCTTCTGACTCCACCAAGGGTTCTTCGCGGCGATGGAGATCAAGTCTCGCCCCTCCACGTTGGCGTGCTTCCCTAGGTAGAACGCCACGTAGACCGTAAAGAAGTGGCCAAAGAAGAATTTTCTGAAGAAGTTGTCCTGGTTCAGGTCGATGTTGACGAACTCGATGTTCGTGTTCTGCGGGACACTCTTGGAACCGAACAGCCCTTCCAGGGTCTTGACCTTACCCTTGGTGTAGTCATCGGCGTTGGAGTCGAGGAAGGTGATGATGGCCTGCTTTTCGGTCGGGTCGGAATAGGTAGCCACTTCGGTGTGGGAGAATTCGTGCAGCAGGTTTCGGTGCGTCGGGACCATGGCGATTTCGTTGAAGAACATGGTCGTCTGCTTGAGGAGCGTGACGTACCAGTCCGCCGTGCCCAGCAGGGCGATCCGGCTGCCTCTCAGTTTCTCGGCGATGGCCTCTGCTTTCTTGAGGGTTCCCTCGTGGAACTCGGATTTCAGGAACTTGACCGAGTCCTCGAGCTCGGTTTGGTACGAGGACGGTGTGATCTTCAGCTTGTGGAAGAGGTCGAGGAAGATCGAGAAGAACTGCTGGACGTGATAGAGGGGGTATTCCCGGTCCGCATGTCGCAGCTTGTACTGGATCAGCGAGGTGCCGTGCTCCTTGCACAGCGAGGCGATTTTGCCGCCTCCAGAGAGAACGATGAGGTTCTTGTTTCCGGTCATCTCGCGCATCTTGTCGAAGAACAGGCACGGCTCGACCGACCAGCCGCTATAGCACACGATGATGGCCAGTGTGGCCGGGTCTTTCATGGTTTCTCGATCGACAAACCAGTCCAGGTCGTAGTCGTTAATAACCTGGACGTGCATCGGGATGCGCTCGTTTAGGAAGAAGCCCTTGACGATGTCGGATACTACCGAGGAGCATCCCATCCCGTAGAAGACGAGCCTCTTGAACTGCCCAGACTCGATCCTGGATTGCAGACCGTTGTCCAGTCCACCAAGGTCATATTCGTGGCCCCAGAGGATGCTCTCAAAGAGAGGGTCGCCGAGCATGGGCTCGAGACGCTGAAGGCGTGGCTGCATCTGTTTCTGCAACATGGTTGTGAATGAGGAAGACTCGAGGCAAGGAAGTGTATGACAAGAGTGTAGCTTGGACAGCGGATATAGTAGTATAGCGATGTGGGAGAAAGACGAGGAACTATAGCATTCTCAAGAAGGAATCTACTTGGGGTTTATATAGACATATCTGAGCCGTACTCTGCCTTATTCAAAAGATACGGTTGCCACGGAGTTCACGTGCGTGATTGATTGTGCTCTGGGAGGACGCAAGGGCTTCTCCTGGGCACGTCAAACCCAATCCCTTGGGTATAGATGACATCACCCTCCTGCCGCCCCTCACGACAAAAAGTTCTCAGAGTCATAATGAACCTTTGCGCGAGTCCAGACTTCGCCATTACCCGTACGATGGACCAATCGACCCCTACAATCTCGACTTCGACTCTGACTCCGCTCTTACGATGCCGCCCTTGAACCGTGCCGCCAATAATACCTTGCTCCGGTGCTATCGTGAAGGGTTCCGTGGCACCAACTTTCGTCGAGCTTGTACGTGTCTCGCATCTTATCAGTGATCTACATGCCTTTGTCCTGTTGTGCTATGCTGCCACAGCCGTAATCTGCATATTCACCTATGAAGGGATTAACAATCAATCCTATATTCCCCGCCCCAAATAGCCAGCCAGAGAATTGATCGCCCGGCCAGCTACGGGCAATCTAGATACGTGTAAGGCAGGCCAATAGGAATATCTCCTTATCGCCATCTGTCTCACCAGACCAACCTTGTAGATTCTAGATCCGAAATTCGTAACAGCCCCGCCCAGCGCCCTTTGACGGTATCCACAACCGCTATTCCGGGCCAATTACGCATGCAGTCAGCGCTAGAGGCGATATTAGCTCCATGCCGGTCCGTTCCGCCCGAGGAAGTGATTTGCAGACCCGGTTTACAAACTTGTCGCCAAAGTACAATCTTTTCTTTGCTGCATATTTACTTTGTACAATTGTCCCATATGCCAAGACCACGTTGCAGGTGTAATATAACGTAGAATTTCTGATACATACCATTCTCTTTTAGCAGGCGTAGAGTGTGTTAGATCCTGTTTTACTCACAGTAAGTATATCAATTTCACTAGTTCTATTCATCGGGGAGTTGACAGTTGTAAATATGCAGGTAAGGGATTAGTTACCCCTACCCCCGCACGTTTACGTTGCCCTCCACGTATCTAACTATCTATGGGGCTAGCCCTTGCTACCCTACTATGTATATTGACCGTATGACGCTCAAATATCCTCTACTTTGCAGAATAGACAAGGTCACACGTAATACCATTGCCTGTTGTACACCAAACACAGCTACCTGAGCCATTCCCGCATTCTCCTGTCCCAACTTTGCATTGTACTCTTTTTCTTTCTCTTTTTTCTTTTTTCTTTCCTACACTTTCAACTACAGCTAACCCGAAGTCGCAGTGAACATCCCAAGCTCGCCATGGGGAGTAACATGGAGTCTGAAGTTCCCCAAAGCCCTCTAGAGGCGTCCAAGAATTGGGTTCCTTTAATGGACGAGCCCTTATACAAACCTCGACGCCTACGCGTTGTGTGTGTCGGGGCCGGGTATTCCGGTCTGAGTTTAGCGTACGAGGCTAAATACAATAAGGCTCTTGAAGGCTTTATCGACTTGACCATCTACGACAAGAATGATGACGTTGGGGGAACATGGCTGGAGAATAGATATCCTGGAGTTGCAGTGCGTTTGTTTGAAGATACCTAAATTTAACAGCCTTTACTTATTAACTGACACTGACGTTCGAGAGCTTTAGTGCGATGTCCCTGCGCATATCTACACCTTTCCTTTTGAACCCAACCCGGACTGGTCTACGTTTTTCGCTTCAGGATCTGAGATCTGGTCCTATATCAAGAGAAGTTCGGATAAATATGGTCTCGCCGAGCATGTCCAACTTCGATCGAAAGTAATCCAAGCGACCTGGGACGAGCCTTCGAGTAAATGGCGTCTCAAGATTCGACAAAACGGTGAAGAAAAAGAAGTCGAATGTGACATATTGGTCGACGGGTCGGGCTTCTTGAAGTAGGTATAAGCAAAACAACCATTGAAGTTTCATAAGGCTAACCTTCCTAGTAACTGGACTTGGCCTAGTATCGAGGGTCTTCATGATTTCAAAGGGCAGCTTCTTCATACCGCGAATTGGTATGTCTCTCTGCCTTCGTGTCGGTCCGTCCTGTCCGTCCTTCGTCTAACAAAAAATGCCACAGGAACCCTTCTATCGACGTTGCAGGCAAAAAGGTCGCGGTGATTGGCAACGGCGCTTCCGCTATCCAAGTGCTCCCGCAGCTGCAAAAGACCGCCGCCCAGCTAACCAACTATATCCGGTCTCCTACATGGATATTCTCCAATCATGCAGCGGAGATGACAAAAGACGGGACCAATTTTGCATTCACCGAAGAAGAAAAGAGAAGGTTTCGCGAGAACCCTGCCTTGCTCTTGAAGTTTCGCAAGGAGATCGAAAGCTGGTACGTCATTCAGTTGCCTCACGATTCTTTCTTTTTCCAATCGTAGTAACTGAAATATAGCGAAGATAACTTCTTCAGCGTCTTTTTCAAGGACTCGAAAACTCAAAAAGCCGCTCTCGTGAAGGCACAAGCACGTATGCGACAGCGGCTCGGCAACGATCCAGAGCTCTGCGCCAAGCTGATTCCGCACTATGAGCTGGGATGCCGACGCGCCACTCCAGGCGACGGGTATCTCGAAGCTCTGTGTGCGAAAAACGCAAGGGTCAATAACATTCCCATAGTGCGAATTACCGAATCCGGGATCCAAACAGCCCACGAGCACAATGAATTTGATATCATCGTCTGCGCCACCGGATTCGACGTGAGTTACCGCCCCCCGTGGACCGTGCAAGGGCGGAATGGGCATCAACTCCATCACGCATGGAGTAACTCGCCAGAAGCATATTTCGGCATCGCAGCGGCCAACACTCCGAACTATTTCATCTTCATTGGTCCTAATAGTCCTGGTATGCTTTCCCCTTCTCCTTCTCCTTCCCCTCGCCAGTAAAGCGAAGATCAGTCACTCAGAGAAGCGCAGTGGGTCATGGTACTCTCCTAGATAGCGTATTCTGCGTGGCGAAATGGATATTGAAGTGGTGTCGCAAGATGGCAACGGAAGATATCAAGTAAGCATATTTCAAATTCTGGCTGTGTGATGGTAAACTCCGCTGACAATATCATAGGTCGATTTGCGTGAAGCAGGAAGCTCTGGATGACTATAACACATATTCACAAGAATTCCTCAAGCGCATGGTGTGGTCTGGGGGATGCCGAAGTTGGTACAAGAATAATAAGGTAGACGGACCCGTTACCGCCCTGTACGCTGGAAGCCGGCTTCATTTTAGAGGTATGGCAAGATGAACTCCTAACTGTGAAATACGAAGCCTTTGTGTTTGCTAATTCGAAGGATTTACGTCAGAGGTCCTCGAAAGTTTTAGGACGGAGGATTTTGACATTCAATATGGATCGGTAAATAGATTTCGCTTCATGGGAAACGGAATGACACTAAGCCAGGAAAGAGTGTTGTACTAAATGGAAATTGAAGCCGTACTAGAATAGACAAGATGCCTGGTGTTTTGGTAGTTCGAGTATGGATTCTTACTGCAAACATTCTTTACGTATTTTGAGTCTGAGAATAGAGCACCCCCATAAGCCTATCCCAGCACATGTGTATCACTAAGAGAATTAATTTCCTAGAAGCACTATTACGGAGAGGCTGTACACACTGACACTCTGTTTTGCTCAATCAAGCCTTACCATACATTCCTCCCTGCGCCAACCGGAGTAGACTACTGCACATTTTCTAGGGATCGTCTGGAAAAGTACAGGATACGACAGGTCTTCTGCTGCTACATGGACAATATGACCGAAAATCGCCCTTTGCGAACGAAATTTTCCCACTTGCGGCGATAGGTAAACAGCACAGGACGCACCCTGGTCGAAACGTGCCTAACGAAACGTGCCTAATCCGGGCAAGGCCTAGAAGGAAAGATCATCTCGCGGATCAGCGACATCCTAACACGGCCAGATCTGTCCCGCGGGAAGAAGGTTAAGAATTGGCTCCGAATTCTCGAGCTTGTGATGTACATTGAAGCGAAGGTTGTGGAGCATCGCGGGACCGGGGCCAGTATAGTTGCTCACCTTCTCCACACCATTTATTGATAACTCCAACAGATAGACAAAAGTCCCGGCCTGACATCATTTGCACACATCTAATTTCTATTCCGTACTTTCTAATTTCTCCGCATATGAAGCAGAAAAAGAGGGGAAATTGCCGAGACGCCCTCAGCCTAATGCAAGCCACGCTAGTACAGGTCCCATCCCTGCTATAGTTACATTATTGCTACAAGTAATAGGTTGGGATCGCTCGAGCTAATTATCCCGGGACTATATGATAGGTGATGTTTAGCAGGCTGCAGCCGTACGGCCGTGGGCAGTGAGGGGGATCTGGACACAAAAGTCCCCAATTCATACGAGCCTATGATTCCTGTCACCTGTATAAAGAAGGCAGGGTCCTGCGGCTGGTTCTCCGCACGAATCTGCACGTATGACTGCATAATGCCATGGATGGAGAAGTGGTAGACAGGGGCGTCGGCTGGGGCTGATGGGTTAATCTTGGGAAGTGTGAACATCAGCTCTGCTGCACCCTCTAGGGTGGATATTCGATGGCATGTTCGCCTAGGTGGGAGACCTCCGCGAGGATGCTGATCCTGCGGCTGCTGCTGTTTCTGTTGCTGCTGGTCCTGCCGCTCTCCGTCATCCGGTCTCACAAGGCGTCCAATACAGCTGGTCTGTTCCGCAACGACATTCCTAATTGGTATATGGGATCAATGAGTTGGAGGGCCAAGAGAACAGGTGTTGAGGTTACCCCGACGTTGTTCCGAGGCTTCCAAGTAAGTCCAATTGCACCTTATCCTACAGAGGTAGATGGAGGAGTCGCAGATCAGTCCTCCCGTCTGCAGTCTTCCCAATCAATGAACTGTTTTCTAAATCTCCGAATCTCCGATAGATACTGGTACCACCTTGTCTAGCACCCCGCGGCAGACAATCGTCGAATCATAATCTTAACGCTGTATGCTTTAGCTCTTTGCCGGTTGTGAACCGTTGCTGATGAGGAGCTTGCGTCAGTAGGAAAATGGCCAAGTCCTTGCTGGACGGTACGCGTCACCATCAGTCACGATTTCATGCGGCAGGAGCTTGGTTTTGGGCTGGCAGCCCCCTCGAGTGAGACCTGTCATCCATGTTATGGATGATGATCCGCGGTGTGCGTGCTGCGACGAAGGGCAGTTCCATCCGGAGTCTATGGAGATCGAATGCTACGACTGTAGACCACAAAACGGGCGCGACGATGCTGGAGTCGCTCACGGAATCGGAGGTTCATAACCATCCAGATCACGAGCTTTATCCGATAAGGACCCGAGCGAAAGAGTCGACTCGATCGTTTGTTTATAAGGTTAAGCAAAAGGAAGAACGAAAAATAAAAGAGAGAGAGACAGAGAGAAAGAACCTCGAGAGATCAGTAAATTTTGAAACTTTATTGTATATAATTCATTCTCGCCGTCAGCTCGCATCAACTCTACTATTTCGTCCCCCATGGCTATCTCCATATTCTCTCGGATCCGTAACCATCTCCCAAAAGGGACAACTGAATATACATTCCATGCTCATTGCCCCGCTGCGTGCTTGTGCGCGCGGTAAATATTCCTAGACAGCATCGTCAGGGTCACGTCGGTCGGAACGAACGAACAAATTGTAAAAAAATATAAATAAATAAAATTGAAAAAAATTGAAAAAAAAAGGCGCGAACGGAGAACACAAAAACGTACATTGCCAGATAATGCCTATTCGAGTCAGCATTCGTTTCCAAATCCCGCAAGATATCGTCTACCATGTCCTGATTCTGCGGACCCAGGAGAGCGACGCCCGCGGAGCGCAGAAAATGCTCTAAATTGCCCTTATTCAGCCTCCCCATTTCCTGCTCCCGGGAGGAAGACGCCCACTCGCCCAACAGCCACTTCACGAGCTCGTCCTGCACGTCTTCGAACCCCAGGCCAGCGAGCTGCGAGCCGTGGGTGGCCGTTGCGCGGTAGTTGATGCCACGGAGCACCCAGGCGTGCTCAGTCGCGTACCCGAATCGAATGAAGGCTGACGTGGCCTCGTCGTCGGCAGTGGGTTTCTCTGCGCGAAAGGGGTGGGTTACATCGAGGAGCTCGAGATGACCGCCGGGCGCGAGGTAATGGTGGCAGTTCGCAAGGAAGCGAGACCAGTCGTGGATTCCGGAGGTGATCATGCGGCCGTGGATGAAGTCGAAGACGGCGGGAGGGAGCAGCCAGTGGGCGTCATTGGCGTTGAAAGGCACGAAGTGGAAGTTTGGGGGCACTGGGGGGGCTAGATGGGGTGGGTGGATGTCTGTCGCGGTAAGGCGCGCAGATGGGTGCGTGTTGGCCATGCGGATGGCCCATGTCGCGATACGGTAGCCGATGACGAGGATGGCGCGCGGAGGGCTCGCGAAGCTAGTACTGTGTAGGCGATTGTCGAGAGTGAGAAGCTAGATTTTATGCTGCAGGTCAAGACGGTTCCGTTCATCCTGCGTGGTTCGGTCAGTTGGAGAGAAAGGAAGGGGGGGAAGGGGAGATGCTTGCGCTCTCGGTGGGTTTTGGTCATGACTAGGCTGCGGCAGGTCGTACGACATCGACATTTTTTTCAATATCGCAGTCGGCAATCGATACGATATTCTAACAGACCTCGGACGATATCGATAGATATCGTACAAATATCCGCACTAGCGTAACTTTCGCTAATTTATCCTATCCTGAACAATCAGGTAATAGTTATGAAGCTGACCAAGTATTATTTTACAACTAAATGTTTACATGTTTAGTTATGACAGTACCTATTTCTTATTTCCTTCACTTGTCATTAGAAATAATAAGGAATAATGTTGTATTCATAAATCAATGTCGTGTTTATAACAAATTATATTTTACTCGAATAGCAAGCTTGTTGTACTCGCCTGTAATTTTACAATTATTAGTTGATAGGTAATTATTGAGTGGAAATATATATTTGATATGAAGGCAATGTAGTACGCTTTCCTACAAAGCCTCAATTTAGTATCTGTATTTATGATATTACAATTTTGATATTCAAATTGTAACGAACGGCTATGCAGGCGATAAGGTATCGCGAGAATGTAGGGTATGCATGTTACCTCCTGAAGCCAGGGAGCTTCCCTGTACGGAGGAACGTTCCGGTTAGTTAGTATAGGATCAAGGGGTCCTCTGCGGTAGGCATCCAGGAACATTCCTAGGTATCCTGCAGGCATTCCTGCCTAAGGCAAAGCCCCAGGCAGAATATAGACCCCCTGGGTCCTCCCTCCTAGAGAGCCTTTCCTCCCTATGGGAAAATTCCTTGACTACGAGTCATAAACAAACTTGTCTTTTACTAAGCTTCTTTGTAGACCGTCACAACTCCTAGCTGACTGCTCGATACTGCCGCCGCCGCGTTTTGATATGTCCTGGGGCTTCCTGTATCCCCCACGCGTATACCGTATCTGCCATCCATGATCCATGGCTTGCTTGCTGATCAAACGGCGTATCATCTGTTCCGTAGTCCCGTTTAAATCTACTACCTTTTAGATGGACGCGTGAAATGGCGATCGCTGCATGTCGATAAGACATAATATTCAGCTTTGTCTTTAGATAGACCTGGGCCTCCTGCTGCAGTACCTTCTACAGCCGCTAGCTGGCCCATGTGCCCTCTCCCGCAGGCTAGAGATAGGGCGAGCCAGACTGGCGATGGTTCCGGACAAGCCGCTCGAGCGCCTGACTAAAGGAGAGAACTAGATAGAGATAGTAGACAACGAGCTTACTGACTGCCTTCGGGAGATAACGATAGATGATCTTCGTAATATTGTCGATCGAATAGCCTTTGTTGTAGCTGGTAACTGTACTGACTAGCCCGTTCTCGACAAAAATACTCCGATGGCAGCCATGCTTGGTATTGCTATGGCAGAGGCCGAGCAGCTCAGTCGCCCGGCCTGATTGGCCGCCAGTCACATAGACGAGCAGAAGAAGCCGCTCTAGAAATTTCCTGATATCTTGCTGGTAACGGGTTACGATTCTTTCCTGTTAGAGAACGTGATCTTTCTGACCGATCTAGCACAGTTCGAGGAATTCATCCCGCAGCTAGCTTGTCTTAAGGACTCGGTCGAGCAGCTATCGTTTGCTAGTAGTCAGTAACGCTGTCCGCGTTCGGGAATCTTTAAGAAAGTTCTATCTCCACTGGTTGTTGGTTGGGTCATCCTGCAGCTCATACAGAGCTAGTCGGGATACGATCTTTTCGCGTATCCCTTTGTCGTGCAGCAGAAAGAGCCCCTCTAGCTGAGCCTGGGCCAGCTGGACCTGCTTCGTAACAAACTGGCGGAATCCTGATATGCTGAGCTGCAGCTCTTTATAGCTTTAAGTCTGGTCGTCGTCGCTCCAGTAGATATAGCTCATGCTCAATCAATCAAAATTCTATTAACCTGGTGGAGCCTATCTATTGAAACGACAGGCTATGCAGGCGCTTCGCCGAATGAAGCAGAATCTCGAGCCCGTACGCCATATAAACCCAATGCAGTAGACAAAAGAGATCAAAAAGTAACATAACTAAACCGGCTGCTACACGCCTGCCGCGTGCCTACTGCGCCCTTAGACGCTGTTCTCTCCTTCCACTCCGTTCTATCTGTAGTATTCCAGTGGGATCCACTGTTCCTGTGTGCGTTATGTAGCCAGTTGAGACTTCCTGACTCTTAGTGTTTAATATAACTATCGTCTTCCTCGTTTAGATCGAGTCCCTCTAGGAGGGTGCTGGGTTCCGGGATCTCCTGGTCCTTCTCGTCGTTAAATGTGGCGAATCGGAACTGCTGTAGGAGGCCTGTTCGTTGCATGAAATCGGCGACGTAGTGTATCGCCTGCGGGTGATTCATGACCACGTCGTAGTCCTGTATACGCCCACGCAGTCCCTCGATAGAGTCTAGGCGTTCCATCATTATTCTCCGACTGGCGCACTCCATAAGGACGTATTTAGGCGTTTGAGAACCTAATTCATACCTGCAGCTAGACTTCGGCAGGACCCATGGGTACCCATAATGGTGTAAACAAGACAAACAGAGAAGAATCTCGTGACTGCATAATTAGTGCAAATTTGTCTGTAATTTTAGGTATTCTAGTTACATATAGAAGAATTGATGTAGATAGATTCTTCGCAATATTATAATGATAATAGATTTGAGTTAAATTTATTCCATTCTTCTAATACTGCTCAAAGTTATTGTCCTCTCTATGTTTACGTTTCCTTCCAGATGTCCGTAGCTGAGTCCTATTCTCTGGCAGCTAGAGCTCCTCAGTATTACTCTCAGTACCAAGATCTATTAACTCATTGGAAGAAACTATCTCAGTATCTTCCTCTTCCTCGTTATCACTAATTATATCAATCTCAACACCCTCTAGATTCTCGTTACTCTGTTCCTTTGATGTCTCAATCTCGTTCAAAGTAAAATACTTTTCAAGCTGTTTTGCCTCTGTATTCTTAAGATCAAATCTTGATGCACATAGAAATAGTATAATCTCTTCAATAGTTTCTGACTTCAAACGGCTACGACAGTAATGGCAGATATCACAAGCGGTATTAAAAAGTCGCTTAACACTAGTACCGATTGCAGGATTGAGAGAATATCCCGGGCAAGTAATGCAGTTGCGGAAAAACTGGATTAATTATTACGCCAGAATTGGAGAGATTTAGCTTCCACTATGTGACCTCCTGAAGTTAGGGAACTTCCCGGTGTGGAGGAACGTTCCAGAGGAACATTCCGGGTAGTTAGTATAGGATCTAGGGACCCTCCGGTAGGCATCCAGGAACCTTCCTGGATGCTCTGCAGGCCTTCCTGCCTGAGGCAGAGCCTCGGGCAGTATATAGAGCCCCTACATCCTCCCTTCTAGATAGCCTTTCTTCCCCATGGGAAAATTCCTTGACTACGAGTCATAAACAAACTTGTCTTTTTCTAATCTCCTTTGCAGACCGTCACACGGGATGGGATCCGCACAAAGTTCTCAAAGTCCGATCGCAGAAGATGTCTCACCCAAGAGTGATCAGAAGGCTAAGCAGGTACTGGATCCTCCTCTTAACGAGGCCGCATGCTATTGTGAAAACGGGAAAAATATCCTTGTCATTGGACCGACTGGGGCGGGCAAGACATCGCTCATCAAGTTGGCGACGGGAATCGAAATAGAAGCGGGACACTCGGCGGAGACAGGTATGTATTCGCGTGGAAGTTGCCAGGGATAGAACGTGCACTCAGGAAGGATTTGCCTTTTAGACACCAACGACCTGAATAGCTATGGTATTACGATTGATGACCAAGCCTTTGCCTTCATCGATACACCGGGATTCAGCGACCTAGATAACGATAGCCATGATACAGCGATCAAGATCTGTCAATGGCTCTGCGACTACATCTTTGCGCCAGGTGTTGAGATCCATGGCGTCCTATATCTACAAGACATCGGCGTTCCAAAGCGAACATTGGCAATGCAGTGTACTGCGGAATTCCTACAGGCCCTGGTTGGAGAAAATTCTCATTCAGGCACCGCGTTGGTAGCAACAAAATGGGACGCTCTCAATCAAAATAAGCTCTCGAGCTTTAAGGCGAGACAAACGGCCTGGCAGACCACAGGGATTTGGCACCCATTCGTCAGCACTGGTGCGACATCATTCCGACATTACGGAATAACCAGCACCGCTGATGACGAAGAAGCGGACCTTCAAGCTGCCCAGCAAAGTATGCGGGATATCGTATCTCATTTCACTGCTGCTGATCCAGTAAACCTCCAGCTGCGCCAGCAATTCCGCAGCGACGGCGAAAAGGGGGCAACAGCCAAGTGGCTTACCAATGCCATGCCAACTCTTAGTAGATTCCATAAACAGCCTATTTCTCGCGGTGTCTCGGGAGAGGGTTCCTTGCAACAAGACCAGAAAACCAGTGGCTCTTCCAATTGGACGACCGGCATTGCGGTAATTGGATCTGCGGTTGCAGGTGGTCATGCATATCACCGGAGAGATGATATCAGGAGAGGCATAAATACAGGTCGGGATGTCATCTCCCGGATGAAGTGGGAAGTAAAACCGAGTGATTTTAGCAGGGATATGAAACCTGGGGTATCATTCGGAGGAAGCCTGATGTAAGCAATCGGGACAATGTACCTACATAGACCCGGTTGTTGGCCAGAAGGATCTAGTGGATATACTTCTGTCTCAAGTGCTGCAGCCAGTTGCGATAGTGATTTTGCGTTATGTGTTAATTTCTTTCTGTAAGACTCGACGAATGCAGGATGCTGGGTAAATTGATCACATTTTTATTGCACTCATAATGACTTTGGGCGTTGGGCATAGTAAGGTCTCATCATTTGTCAACCGTATGTGACCGCTAGTTACATAGGAGACCTTCCTATTCCGGATATCGGAATTGGTAACTACCGATTCCCGAGGATTATGCAGAGTTTTCTGTTATTTCCATGGTTCAAAAGTTATATCTCTTTCAGCTGCCTTTTTAGGCTAGATTGCTTATTATTTTTCATGTATTTAAACTACCGTTTGCAACTAGATTGAAAGAATCAGACCTTCATCATTCGATATTCCTATGGGTAACATTACTAGCAATTACGCCTAGAGAGACGGCCAACAAGTTTGTGACGGTCTACAAAGGAGCTTGATATAAGAAAAGTTTGTTTATGACTCGTAGTCAAGGAATTTTCCCATGGGGAAGAAAGGCTATCTAGAAGGGAGGATATAGGGGCTCTATATACTGCCCCAGGCTCTGCCTCAGGCAGGAAGGCCTGCAGAGCATCCAGGAAGGTTCCTGGATGCCTACCGGAGGGTCCCTAGATCCTATACTAACTAACCGGAATGTTCCTCTGGAACGTTCCTCCACACCGGGAAGTTCCCTAACTTCAGGAGGTCACAAAGTTCTCTCATTTAGTCGCTAACGCAAAGTTTTATGGCAGATATCAAAAATACGTGTAGTTTCACGAATACTGCAAATTTCTTGCTTGTTTAAAGCAGAGATAGTAAGTAGGATCCTCCCCTCTTGCTCGGCTGACTTTCTTGATTCTTGACGCGCTTTTGGAGGCATGGTTGGTGGTTGAATTTGATGCGATGTAATTACCTCGGAGGGCGGAACAACATTAGTCCGTCCGAGGCTCATATTTTGCAGAGGCCACAATCCTCTTCAGACACCTAAGCACTCAAGTATCTCTGTTTTCTAGGCTGCGTTTTAGATAGAGTATTACTTTATTCATTTGCATTCTCCTTATGGCTTAGGCCTCGTACAGCTCGGACCGATCGAACTCTACCATTCCTCTGAGTTTAACCACTTCAACAGTGACCTCCATAATATCACTTGACATTCATCCTTCTGTCTTTCTCTGTACCATTATCTGAGACCTGCTGGAATCTATGAACAATATGAGCGGACAACGCAAACCTCAGAAAAGGAAGAGGATTGTCATGTCCTGTTCCGAATGCCATCGGCGCAAGCAAAAAGTAGGGAGCCTCAGGAAATAGCTTAACGAAGGTTTACTAAAGGTTGAATAGTGCGACCGCCAATATCCATGTTGCAACTGCATCAAGCGAGGTACGCAGGTATGTATACTTCCGAAAGCAATATTGCTTGTGGTCTGATTTGCGACAGAATATTTGCCATTATGACGCTGAACCGAAGGGCTGCCAACCTACGCGAAGCGGTTCTGGTGAGAGTGATCCTTTGGAAACCAGTCGTGGCACGAATATAGTGCATACCCGCCAACCTGCTGAACCGAGCAACGAGTGGTCTAGCGAGGTTCAGGACAAAATTCGAGATTTTGGATACTCCAACCACGGCAGTTACAATTCCATGAGCCTATTGTGTACTGCTGAGCTGTATGGCGGCCAGGCCACTACTTTATCTAGCTCCCGTACCACAAACCAGGCCACTTCCCGAAATGATGCGAACCGCAAGTATAAGGAAGCAGTCCGCCAGCTACCTTCACGAGCCTGCATTGACCTATTGGTCCAAACCTTTTTCTCTGACATCAATTGGCAGTACGACCTGCTTGACGAGGAATCCTTCAAGGAGGACCTGGTCGCATGGAGAGAGATCTCATATTCCGACCTTCAAGTGAGCTTCGAAAGATTACCGCTCGGGACCGTTGTGTTTCCAGCTCTCTTGTTTCAAGTCCTCGCACACGCCCTTCTTTTTCATCCTCCTCATGATGAAGTGATCAGCTCTCTTATTACCGTGGCTGGTATGACCTTCCATGACCTAGGAGGCGAATATAGCGACACAGGTGCTGAATTACTCGCACTTCTGGGGAAGAAGAATATAAAAATCGCCATGGTACAAGCAGGTTTGCTACGAGCCTCGTTCTTGAAGAGCAGTGGTAATGTTGTTGAAGCCTGGCATACACTTGGGGCAGTAATCCGTGATGCACAGGAGATTGGCCTACATACCGGACGAATTGTATTTGATCAATCACCAGTGGGACCGAAGCGCGGGAGAGAAAGTGTTAGTCTTGTGGGTCACAGAGTCTGGGTGGTTTTACATATTTGGGACGTCCACATGGCTGTCGTCCTCGGTCGACCGATTGCTACCAATATTCAAATCGATCGCTTCGCTCGCACAGTAGAGGACGAGGAAAACCGGCGAGAATTATTTTCCCATTGGCAAACCGAGACCGATCCGCCTCGACCATTTGATATCATCCTCGCCGGCTACAATGTGGCCTATCGATATTTCAAGGACATTCACCAACTGGAACATAACGGTGCTAACTCACAAGACTACCCTATTGTTGAACACATTGGTGCTACTATTAAAAAAAACCTAGAATGTTTACCCTCTTGGTGCCGTCTGGAAAACCCAGATACGAAGTTTGATGGATTACACGGGTGTCAATGGCTACCTGTTGCTCGAGATGGACTATCATCACTCATCCACTTTGTTATTCTTGCACTTCATCGACCCTTCATATTCTCTTTTGCCAGCAGTCGCACAGAAGCCCTGAAAGCTGGGATATCCGTTCTTCACGTACAAGAACGACTATTTAAACAGTCAGAGCCACACCAGCGCAAGGTGTTTAATTTTGTCTATGCTTCTTTTGATGCGATTGTTCTCATTGCAGCACTCTGCCTTGTTTTTCCTAATGAGGATCATGTACAACAAAGAGAGTGTATTGACGTTGTTAAAAGGGGGATGCAAAGGCTGAGCATAATTGGCCAATCCAATTCTATGGCAGCGTCAGCACATGATGTTGTGTGCAGCTTGTACCACCGTTTAGCATATCGGTTCGGCATATTCGAAACCGCCGAAGACGCTAGACCATCATTCACCAACCCAGAATGGATCCCTTCCAACAGCAATACAAATCTCTCTCATATGGCGCCGTCGGAACCTTCTTTTGATGCCGTTATACCTCCGCGTCCTACCCATGACCTATTCTTCGATCATCTTTCAATAACACAAATACCATTCACGGATACAGCTGACAGTTTTCCCTTGGACCCGCTTACTGTGAACATTACAGATAGGTGGAATTTTGAAGGCGACTTCTCAGATGCCAGCTTTTGGAGTTTGATGAACGGACTTAGCCATTGAAATGTACATGTCGTTAATTACATCCTATTTGATCCCGGCAAACCAGGCTGCGATATCCCCCACGTTGCGATCAACGCAATCCGGCTGGTCGTAGTGCTGGAAGTGCGAAACCTCGTTGTTCCAGATCAACTTTTTCTGACTCGTGGGAATGGAATCGTAGTGGCGCTTCGCAGCTGCTGCATTCATACAGTTGTCGCCGTGGATCAGCAGCGCCGGCTTGTTCAGCTTCGCCACGCCAGGCACAGTGGTATAGTCAAAGTGGTCCAAGTCGCTCATCACCGCATATCGGTTTTCAAATCCCTTCAATGTCCACGGCCCGTACCAAGACCAAACAACTGGTCCCGGAAGGCCGGCCAGTGACCCTGTATCAGGATCAGCGGGCTTCGGATCAACCAACGGCTGGTACACCACTTCTCCTGTCTTAATGTACAATTCACGGGCTTTTTTCGCTCGTTCGAGCCGCGCTCTATACAGAGCTTCTCCCTGTTCGGGAGTGGGCATTTTCATCGCTGCAATGTCTGCGCCAGGAGTCCATGCAACACACCCAGCGCAAATCATGTAAATGTCGGTCTCATGGTCTCGGTAGTATCCCGAGACAGAGGCAACACCTGCAACTCGGCCATCGTAGGATGCCACATCCAAGGATTCGGGGCCGCCCTGGCAGATCCCAACTAAGAAGAGCCGAGATGAATCGACATCGACGCGTGCCGATAGATAATCAAGTCCTGCGACCATGTCCTCATTTTTCATTTTCGGGTTTTCTTGTCGCCGGGGTTGGCCTGTGCTTTCACCAACAGTGCGTGGGTCGAAGATTAGAGCTGCGTAACCTTCATCTGCGAGACGGGTTGCGTATTGCAACGGTGCTTGCTCTTTCACAAAAGAATATGGACCAGTTATAACAACACCAGGTGGTTTCCTGACATTTGTGGGATAAAAGAGGACCCCCGCGATAGTATCCCCATGGGAAGTATATTTGACTTTTTCAGTGGTGTATTGACCATGGGAAGGCATTTTGAATTCGATTCAATGAAGTCTGGTTATGAAATTTGACTGAGACGATCTTGATGTTCTCAAAACGACGAATCTAGCCGGGTTTAAGTAGCCCAAATCCATCGGAGTTATGCCGTGGCCATGGCGTCATGAGAGTTTATTGTGGTCCTAATATATCTATGACGCAATGGATTTAATGGCCAGCATAACAAGAACCAATCATATTAGCGTGACTACCCCCGTTTTCGTTTTTCTCCAATTATCGCCGATAAAAGCGGGTCAGATTGGGCCTAACGCCGATAGACCAATCAAGGGCAAATAAGCCGCGAAACTTCTGCAAAGTGACCTGTTCAGTTCAACGCCGACATCAAATCTTCAACTCTGATACGCATGGGCTAGCGAAATACGCATTGTTTTGCTTGTATTTTGCCGTATCATTAGTCCGGCTGTCTTTAGTTAGAGGACTAAGGCTACACCTTGACGTGGGCGCGCGACTATAGTAAGTGACAGCATGGCTGACGATGAAATTGGTGGAATGCTTAATCAATTCTATGCAACGAGGCTGCAGACTACAGTCACTGGTATTTGAAATTTAGAACACCCTGAGGATGGGGCCGTGCGCCCGTCCTACCGCCTACCATTTTTACTATGGTAAGCGGGACTAGGGCAACCGGACACGCGTAGTTGAATAGGGTCACATAAATATTTTGAAGCTTTTCAGCTCTATACAATATGCCTAAACGCAGGGGCTGTAAGGAGTTAACCCCCCAGATGAGGTCTCGAATATGTGAGCTTCACTCTATTGGCTGGGGGGCACGCAGAATTAATAAAAAGCACCCTGAAATCCCTATTTCTACTATATCTTATACCCTGAAAATGGAGCGTGTTCGAGACGATAATAAAAGCCTTCAACGCCCTGGCCAAAAGCGCAAGCTTACTGAATACTGAGGAATACCGGGATCATATATATGATCGAATTCATACAGATTATCACGTTACGTACGACACTCTTATCAATGAAATCGATGAAGCTGTATTAAAGTGTTCTATTCAGAACCTCACACGAGAATGGGGCAAGCGCAAATGGAGACAAAAACGCAGGCCAGAGATCAAGCCAGAACACGCAGTTAAACGCCTTGCCTGGGCCCGAGAATATGAATTTATGACACCCGAGGACTGGGCTTGTGTTAAATGGAGCGATGAATGCACAGTTGAACGAGGTGTTGGTAAACGCCCAATCTGGACATGGCTTAGGCCTCAGGAACAGCTTCAGCAACATGATCTTCACCTTGTACGCTGTGGTAAAGGGGTTAAACAGATGTTTTGGGCTGCTTTTGGGGAGCAGACTAGAACTGGTCTTATTCCTCTAGATGGTGATCCCTATTCAGCTGGAGGGGGGGTCACAGGAAAAATTATCGCTGATTTATATCGAGCCTTTCTACCAGAGATTTGTGACGGTCTACAAAGGAGCCTGGTAAAAGACTAGTTTGTTTATGACTCGTAGTCAAGGAATTTTCCCATGGAGAAGAAAGGCTATCTATGAGGGAGGATCTATCCTTTATGTATTACCTGAGGTTTCGCCTCAGGTAGGAATGCCTACCGAAGGGTCCTCCATATCGGGAAGTTCGTATCGGAAGTTCGTACTGGGAAGTTCGTATCGGGCAGTCCTTGGCTCAGGAGATAACAATACCCCCCCCTTTTGAAAGGGCTGGTCCCCAGCCCTTGCAAAACAAGCTTAAACAGGTAAATCGTTATCATCGTGTTCGTCGAGAAATTCGTCATTAGCTGCAGCAGTAAGCCAGTTAGCCAGGCGCCGAGGCGGACTAGGCTTCTCAGGATATTGATCATGAAATTCCTGCAACTTGAGCGGGGCGTTACGGAAATTGAAGGCAGAATATTACGCAGGGTCGGGAGGATACCCTTCCTACTGCACACGGTAACGCAGCTCTTTATTATACATGCGAGAAGCAAGAATTTTGTCTACAAGCCATTCCGACTCGCCTTGTATCTCAATCGGGGGCTCTGGATCGCGAATTTGACCCGGCATAGGTGCCAAATCGGTCACTTTTCGGAGCTTCTCTGGTACGAAAACGGGGTAGACTTGGAGTGTAGGAGGCAGGCGAAGCTTAAAGGCATATCCAATCTGTTCAATAATCTCGTACGGGCCAGCCCATTGGTCGCCGAACTTGCGGCTCGGACGGCCTAATTCCCAGTCTTTAATAGTTACGTAGACCAAGTTCTCGGCCTTAAAGTCCACGGGTCTGCGATGCTTATCGGCTTGCCGTTTCATCTTTACCTGAGCTAGTTCAATTTGACCTTTAGCGTAATCCCAGATCTGTTCTAAATTGCGAGCAGTCTGGCGAGCTTCAGCTTAATCATAAGGTCTATCCCGAGGTTTCGAGGGCGAGACCCAGTCAAAGGAGACCCGGGGTTCGTAACTACGCTCAACCTGGAAGGGAGATAACCCGATTGACTTATGTTCGAGGACGGCGTAGGCGAAATCTATAGCCGGTAGCAGCTCTGACCAGTTATCTTAATAGTAATTCACAAAAGGACGGAGCTTCTGGGCGAGATATTGATTAACGATCTCCGTATGGCCATTCGTGGAGGGCTTCTGCCCTGAGGTTAGTTTGCGCTTGATCCTCAGCCGCAGGCAGAGTTCCTCCCAGAAAGCAGAGATGAACTGGCCTCCACGGTCTGAAAGGATTGACTCAGGCAGTCCTACCCATCGATATATATGTTTGAGGAAGAGCTGGGTCATATCCATTACCGACACATTTTTATGACAGGGGATTGAGATCACCCGTTTCGTTAGGCGATCTACGATTACACAGGCTTTATCAAAGCCGTGCTTGTCCTTCGGGCAGGAGCGAAAGTCCATAGAGATATGCTCCCAAGGGCGATTCGGGATATCGAGGGGTTGAAGCAACCCTGGGGGCAGATCCCTTCTAGTAGTAGTTCGATTACATATCAAGCAATTGGCCACGTATCGTTTAACATCGTGGCGCCAGCCTGGCCACCAGTATCGGTTCTTAACCAGAGTTTCTGTCTTGGTTCGTCCTAGGTGCGCAGTAGAGGGCTGTCGGTAAACCATGTCAAGCAATCGGGTGCGAAGGTCGCCCTCTTCAGGAACCACAAGCTTATTCTGGAACAGCAGGAGCCCATCCTGTAGAGACCATTCAGAGCCTTCTTCAGGAGCAGCAGCCTTTTCTTCGTCAAGGTCAGTCGCAATGCGATTAGCCTGCAGTAGACGGTCCATTAACTGGATGTCATCCAGCTCTATAGGAGCAAGAAGTGCTGATATAGCAGATAGCTTCTGTTCAATGGCCTGCGGAGGCAGAACACCCTTTTCCAACCACTCTGGCCTCAACAGAGCCTGGTTCTTTGTGTCTAGGTCCAGAGGACTCTCTTCAGGTCTCGATAAGGCGTCAGCAGCTGCATTTTTTAACCCAGGTCTGAACTTGATCATAAAGTGGAACCTTGAAAGAAACTCTAACTACCGGGCCTGGCGCCCGTTCAATTTCTTCGTAGTCATAAAGTATTCAAGGGCCCTATGATCAGTTCAGATCTCTATTCGTTCAGTGGTCTGCAACCCTTCAAGTTCCGTTCTCCAGAGCTCTAGAACTCGAACTATGGCCAAGAGCTCCTTATCATGAATATCGTAGTTGCGCTCAGCACCGAGCATATTCCTAGAGAAATAGGCAATCGGGTACCACCTACCCTCAAATAACTGAGAGAATATGCCTGTAATTACCCCGTTAGAAGCATCCGTTTTGATCCTAGACGGGAGGGTTGGGTCGTGATACTGTAGGAGAGGTACCGAAATTAAGTGCTTCTTCAGTTGCTCAAATGCTTTCTGGCAGTCGGAAGTCTATTCAAAGGATACTAATTTCTTTATTAAGGCGTACAGTGGTCTGGCAATCCTACTGTAGGCCTCTATAAAACGTCAATAGAAGTTGCAGAACCCGAGAAACGACTGGACTCCCCTAACTGTGGTAGGAATCTGCCAGTTAGTGATTACTGCAACCTTCTCAGGGTCAACCTCAATGCCATTTGGGGTCAAGATAAAGCCCAAGAACTTAGTTCTCTTCACGTTAAATTCGCACTTGTAAATAGCAGCCTGGAGGCCTGCAGCGCGGAGCCGTTTAAGCACCTCTTGGACGTGGGCCTCGTGTTTAAGCTCGTTTTTACTGAAGATCAGGATATCGTCTACATACACAGTTACGTACTTGTCGATCAGATCAATAAAGATATCATTTATCAGCTGTTAGAACGCTGCGGGTCCATTGATCAAGCCGAAAGGTAAGACTTGGTATTTGTAGGACCCGTACTTGGTGCGGAACGTAGTCAGATCCACTGAATCGGGATGCATTCGTATGCGGTAGAAGCCCTGCCTGATGTCAAGCTTGGTAAAGATCTTTGCGTGGCCTAGCCGGTCCAGCAACTCGTCCATTAGGGGCAGGGGATAGCGGTTCTTCTTGGTAATCGAGTTCAGTTTCCGGTAGTCCACGCAGAACCGCAGGCCTCCCCCTGGCTTCGCAGCCATTAGTACGGGAGAGCCGAATGGGGCAGCACTGGGAACGATAAAGCCCTTCTGTAGGTTCTCTACTAGATAGGCCTTGATCGCCTCTAGTTCCTTTGCAGAATATCGATATAGAGGACTATACCCCAGCGTATTCTTATCAGTAAGCTCAATTCGGTAATCGTTTTCTCTCCTCGGGGACAGCGTATCCGACGCTGACTTCAAGAACACATCCACAAAGCCGTGGTAGGACTCGGGGATCTGTTCTTTCAGCTTCTCGACCTCCAGTTGGCGTTCAGGGTAGTTCTTCTCGTCGATAATCTTGTCAATCTGCGCTAGCGAGGTAATGAAGCAATCCGATTTACCGAGATGAAGCTGGTAAGCCGAACCGCTGATGGCAAAGATATCGACCTCTGGCAGGCCCTTTTTGGCAGTCTTCGGGGGTCGCTCTGGGGCTGGTTCGGGGTCGTTCCGGGTTTCCTTGAGTGCCCGTTCCATGCGGTACAGTGCTCGTTCAGTGTTTTTCTGATAGGTATTGAACCTGTTCTTCCGAATATATATATCTTGATTCTGACGGTTACCCTCTTGATCCAGTTGTCGATCCCTGCGTACCATATCTTTCTGGTGCTCAGGGTTCATCTTGGGTCTCTGCAAGATTGCTTTAGGTAGGATAATGCTCTGTCGAGCCTGAACCTCTTCCTTTAGCGTAATTGCTTCGGGCTAAAGTAATCGGTTACGGCTATAGTCAGGTAGAACTTGGTGAGCCTGTAATCACTTCCTGCCGAGGATTATGTCGTTCTGACCGAGGTCTACGATCAGGAAAGGCAACCTCTGCGTTCGTTGATCGATAATCAGGATCAGTATAATTGCATGGGTGATATCGCCTCCTTTGCGGCCATTATAGCCCTTAATTGGCACGCTGTTCGGCAGGGGGATCGTATGTAGGTTGAACCGTTTAGCAAGCAGAATAGCGAGATCGTGATTTAGAAAGCTGAGTCCGTTGGCTCCGGTATCGATCAATGCGTATGTAGAAATCGAATATCCATTAATAGCTAATTGAATTGGAACTAGAAAACTATCGTCTTTGCGCCCGAGTAGGTTTTCCGCTGAAATATTCATTTCACACAGAGATTGATACATCAAACCTAGGTAGGAGTCTTGACCTAGGTTTCCTCGTTTTTTGGCTCGGCAGGGGACTGCTCAGGAACCTCTTCCAAGGCCTTTAACTCTCGTTTAGGTACCTGAAAGAAGTAAGAACCCTTCTGGGGGCAGTCGATAACGAGATAGCCGAACTGCTTACAGATAAAGCATTTACCTTCTCTCATTAACTGATCTTTTTCTTCGCCTTTGACATAACTAAGGCGCGAACTAGCTCCTTTATTCGGGGTCCAGGATGAGGATTTAAAGCTGCCTCTGGCCGTATTCTGGTTTCGGCGCTTCTTTAGGTTACCCCAGAGGTAGACCTGGCTTTGAACCTCCGCATGGGTCCCTACTCCGGAACCTCGAACCTCACCTCCTGAGGTGAGGTTCCAACCTTCCTAACCTCCAACCGCCCATTAACCTCCAGAGGTTCGTTGAGGTTCAACCTCTATCGACCCGCATGAACCTACATATGCATAATTTCTTGACGCCTTTCCTCTTTTGGCCGGATAAAATTGATGATTCATCTTTCTTTTTTACAGCTGTTCTGTCAATCTGTAGACTTTTCACTGAATACTCTATCAACATAATGAATTATAAAGAAATAGTCATGCAAAAGTAAACAGTAGGCGTAGTCAGCTACAAATTACAGGTAATATTCGATAATATCGACGTGGTAGGTAGTCAATAGAGGTCATCGATAAAACAGCATATAAAGTTGTAGATATATATATCGCAGACACTGTAAAATATGTGTATCTTTATCAGTAAAACTACTGTTTTTCAAGAAAACTATAAAGACGCAGTTCAAATTCCCTCAATTTTATATCATTCAAACCGTTATATCTTCTTCTATCACTTTATCTTCAAGAATTCAGGTCAGATGATCTAGGTATACCGTAAATCCGGTTCAAAGGTCCTAATTGTTGGACTTGGACGTTCTGTTTTTCCTATATTGAGGTTCTCTTAGAGGTTCTATGCGGGTAAATGAGATTCTCGTTGAAGTTCGTTAAGGTTCGTTAAGGTTCGTTGAGGTTTATTGAGGTTCGTTTCTATAGTGATCCACTATACTAGCGAATCAGGTATAGATAGGTGGATACAAAAGTTGATAGATCAATTTGAGTATATAGAACAGGGACAAACAGATACCCTGAGAATATCCCGTAACTTCTATAAAATAATCAGTAAGTCTCTTATTATCTTCCGCCCCAAGTTATACTAGTTTACTGAATTTATTATGTCTTAGATTACCGATATCTATGGCTACACATCATCTAGCTTCGAAAGGTTACCACTAGATGCGCTGCAATACCTTACCCCAGACGATACGTTATCCTAACGCGAAAGCCAAAGTCAAATACCCTCCGAAAGCCAGTTTGATTCAGTTCCAGACCTTCCAGACCTTCTAGACAATCAAGTCCGATCTCGTGCAGGACCTCGGGCCCCAGATACCTTTACGCGAATCAAGCCGGATAGCATTAACGAGTATATCGTCTTTACAACCGACATGTCCGCGGAATTCGTTAAGTGATAGCTTCAAACCGATTTTAGTAAAAAGAAGCGGCTAAACTGGAAGGTTAACCATCGCGCAAACTGCTGAACTGGGTTTTAACAAGTTGCACATGCTAAAGATAGAAAGCCTAATGTTATATGCAATCGGTACCGTACAGTTCTTACGCATCCAGCTACAAATTATACTGGAAACTTATCGATGCAGAAGCATCTTGATGGGCCAAAATGTCGACAGCGAATTACGAAAAAGGGTAATATCCAGTAACTATTTAGCGACGCGGTATGTTCGAAATAGCCTATATTCAACGTTAATATTAATAATGAATTAACTATCTTTTAGGCCGAGAGAAGACCAGCGCCTACCTTTATCCAACAAATATAAGAACAGAAGATTCTAAACCTGATTACTGTATCGCATTTACCCTTTCTTTTTGTCGAGCACCAAGAATTCTATAACCTCCTTTTCTATGTACGGCTAGCATCTATACTACCGAGCGTTCTATTAAAAAAGGTAATTTGCAACCGCCTCCGGGATTTTGTTATAGAGTATCAACAAGAGACACTACAACAGTTCCCATCTAGTGCAAAAATGTCGATTGCGCTTGACTGTTGGACTTCACCATTCAAGCACGCATTTATGGCTATCACAGGATACTTCCTAGACCAGGAATGGGAGTATCGTGAGGTCTTACTTGGGTTTGAGCCAATTTCTGGATCTCATACTGGCGTGAACCTCGGGGACATAGTTCTCCAGATCTTACAGAAGCACCAAATCGCTGATCGAGTACTGGCAGTAACAACTGATAATGCGTCTAACAATAAGACACTTATCGCAGCAGTAAATGATTCAATCAAGAAACTACAGATAGAAACGGATTCTACGATCGTCCAAGTGCCCTGCCTTGCGCATATTATTCAATTGAGTCTAGTTAATTTACTTGGTAAAATCAAGGCTTCGCCAAAGAATGATAACGCTGAAACAGAATGGTCTGATGATCGTGTACGTTTACTTCGTACACGCCAGCAGAAACATGAGATTGCTGATACTCTGAATAAGGTATGCTTCTATTTATAAATCATGAATCATAATTCAATAATACTAACTATTTTGGTTCCTGATAGGTCCGAGGTCTTGCGGTTTATATCAACGGAAGCCCTTAACGCAAAGAAGCCTTCCTAAATACCCAGTCTAGTAATACACTAAGGCTTCTTCTAATCCAGGATGTTCGTACACGATGGAATTCGACATTTCTGATGCTCCGACGGGCGAAAAGGTTTTATATCGCATTTAACAAGTTCTGTTCCGACTATAATCAACACCATTTTACACTGAGTACAGAGGGGTGGCAACAGATTGACTATCTGCTTTGTATTTTTCAGCCCTTTTTTACGCTCACTACGCTAGTTTGTCGTACTAAAGACTCGAGTATCCACCTTGTCTTTAGGATTTACAATAAGCTTTTCGATCATCTTGAAATATCGATGCGTCAGCTTTGTCGAAAGAAAGTTTCCTGAAAACAGCTAATGTTTTCTTCCCTTGAGGCCGCGAAAGAGAAACTGAAGAAATACTACGGCGAAACAGATAATATCGAAGGTAATCTCTACGCAATTGGGACGATCCTAGCGCCGTCGAGCAAGATGAAGTTCTTTTCAACAAGTGATTGGGACCTAGATCCTGAGATAGGAAAGGATTACAGAAAGGAATACCGCAAGAGCCTTCAGTCTCTTTTTGAGAGATATAGCTAACGTATACCATCAGAAATGATACAGTCTGATAGCCAGTTATTTACAACTGAATCGGAGCTTGAGAAAGCCCTTAACGGCGATTCTTTATAACGATTAACTGTTTCGCAGTACGACGAACTCACCAAATATCTCCAGAGTGGTAAGTAAGTAAGCCTACTTTATAAATTATATAACTAACCTTATCTAATTAAATACTATCAAAGGATCTATTCGGATCTTCTGGAAAGATCATCAGAGGGAATTCCCTATTCTTGCAAGCATTGCCCGTGATATTATGTCAATTCTAGCGACTGGTGCCGGAGTTGAGCGTCTTTTTAACTTTGCCCAGGATGTATGTTATTACTGCCGGGGGTCATTGAACCTAGAGACCGTTCGCGATATCATGTTATACATGTGTACAACAAGATTCGATATCAAGGAGGAGCAGCGGCTGATTCTCTAAAAGTATCTTTTAGACTATAAGATAGCTGTTTCGGCCGAAGCACTTGATGTCCAGACACATGTTTTCGAGGCTATCAGTGATAATGAGGAGGACGTCGAGATACGTCTTGATATACTGGCTGCTATATCAATTACGCAGGCAATTCTGGACGTACCGCCACTATCAGCAGTTGCCGCTGGAAAACGGCCTGCGGTTACTTCTGACGATAAAGAAAACTCTAATACCGATAAATTTGCGGATCCAGATGAGAATAGGGCATTACCCTTATCTAACTTCCCTGATACGCAGCATCGTGTATCAGGTAGAATACGGAAGAAGTCGAGACTACTAGATAGGTATATAGCTTAATTACTTAACTTTTGACTCTTCAGAACCATAACCAGACACTGTACTATAGATATAATGTAAACCATTGATAATTGAAAGTTGAAACCCTAATTCGAAGCTAAACCCATGATATACATTAAATCCTCCTGTAAAGCCATACAGTAATGAAGTTTTGGTTTATAATTACGAGAGAATACAGCCTGTTTCTACATAACTTATACAATTAACCCCAAGTCACGTTTTCTACCTGTTTGTCATGTTTGTTGAACCTCAGGTTCACCCGCGGGTAATCTCCATGAGGTTCGGTCCAAGATGGAACCGCCCGGAGGTTCTAGGTCATGGAACCTTAACTTCCGGGTGGGTGAACCTCCTTGAGGTTCGTGAGGTTCACTCGCGGTTCCTAGCCAGGTCTACCCAGAGGTCGGCCACCTTGGCACATTCATGAGTAAAGTCTCCAAAGGTTCGATTGTTATCGTTAAAGGCGTAAGCTACCATTCGCTGCACTTTATCAGGAAAAGCGAAAAAGAAGCTCTCCTTCCAGGTATTACGATCGATCCGGCTTTCGACCGCAAGGTACTGGAACTCTAAAGCAAAGGTGTAGTAGTCTTTAAAGGCAGCCATCCTAATAGAGTTGAACTTCTGGCGAACGTTGCGGGCCTTATTCGGGTCCACGAAGATGCTTTTCAAATGACTCAGGATTTCATCAAAGTCACGATAGTCCTGAATCTCGAGACGCGGGAATATATGTCGACGAGTATCCCCTTTACAGCGACTAGTTACGTAAACAATGCGAAACTTAGCGGTAGAATAGTGATCAGCGTTAGCAGTCATCTTCTAATGGATCGCTAACTGCCAATTCTCAAAGGATGGGTTTTCGCCGTTATTCAGCATCGGCGGGTCAGGAATCTTAGTAAATCGGTAACCAGAAGTGTCGGCTCGATCTTTAGAGAGAGCCCATTTTACAGCGATAGCATTACGTTCAGCGGTTAGGTCGGCAGTGTCTTTCCGGGCCTTATTTGTTCTTTTGATCTCGAGCTCATGCATGCCTCTCATGACCTCGTAGACCACTTCTGGATTCTTCTTGATCTCCTCTAGGAACCTTTCTTTGGTCATAGGGATTTGATCGGTATCAATATCGTCTGTTACCTGCTCCGAATTATGGAACAGTTTTTCTTCTTCAGGGGATCCCTCTTCCTGTTCCTCCACTGGCTGATCATCGGAGGGCTGGTTGTCCTGAAGGTCCTGGGGATCGTCTGCAGACTCTCCCTGGCGTGCAAGGGCACGGAGCGAAGAGCGGGTTCTGGGGTTCATTCTGGTTCGTTCTGATCTTGGTGCAACTTGGTTGTCGTGTAGTTGCCTCACGGGAAAGGCTTCAAACGGATCACAAGGCTTTATACCTACTGATTGCTCAGTGATATGCCTTTAGTGTGTCTGCTTGAAGTAAAAAAAGAAAAAGCGATGGGAAAATTATGTGACGGTCTACAAAGGAGCCTGGTAAAAGACTAGTTTGTTTATGACTCGTAGTCAAGGAATTTTCCCATGGAGAAGAAAGGCTATCTGTGAGGGAGGATCTATCCTTTATGTACTACCTGAGGCTTCGCCTCAGGTAGGAATGCCTACCGAAGGGTCCTCCATATCGGGAAGTTCGTATCGGAAGTTCGTACTGGGAAGTTCGTATCGGGCAGTCCTTGGCTCAGGAGATAACAAGATTGTTCATCCTGGGGATATCTTTATGCATGATAATGCCTCTGTCCACACATCTCATATTGTATGTTGGCGATACTGCCGCCGCAGTCCGCCTTCCCTATATGGCGGCTTGGCAAACCCACATATCTCAGTTAGATAGCGCTCAACCCCTTTTCATAGAGAATTCAAGCATTTCACTCCGATTGAGTAGGCAATACAGCCATGTCGCTATCAGATTAAGAGTCACACCTGCTCAGAAATAGCTTCAAAACACTCATTTTATCAATTTGAAACCTCCATATATCGAAAATCGATAATGGCAAGCGATCAACTGCGAGAGGAGATGCGAAGAGTATCCCCTCAACAACAGGGCGCTCAAGGCGACCCAACCCCGAATACGCCTCGACAGACGTAGGCAACCAGATTACCAGCTGAAATTAACGTGTCATTGCCTTCCATAGAAAAATTGAAAGGAAGGGATGACTGGGAAGCTTGGAATCTAAACGTGAAATACGCGCTCAAGTCAGAGCAACTTGGCGATCTTATTCGTACAGATCTGCCTCAACCCACAGAAGAAGAAGCAGGATATGAAAAATGGTTAAAGGCGGCCAGCAAGGTAACATATTGGCTGATAACTAACGTATCACGAGATATCTTCATAAAATTGACGCGTGAGACTGAATATGACTATCCCCTAGAGACGCTTGAAGCGATCAGGAGGGTCACTATCGGTAAAGGCCTCAACATGTCCCTAAACACATGGCTCAGCGCGATAGAATGTCAGAGATCTGACTTCGGAACTGCAATCCAGTTCATAGAAGCTCTTTACCAAAGAATCAAAGCCTCTCTAAACGTTGGGATGCAAATTACACCATTTCAAGCTTCAGCAATATTACTCAAAAGACTCAAGAATGACGCCCCAACCGTGACCGAAATCTTTCTCATGGAGATGAAAGACGAGAAGAAAGACCTGATGGAATGGAGCCAATATGATCATTATTGGAGCCATTTGGCTGACCATATCCGGTCAAACGAATCATTCCTCCAAGCCTCAATTGAAACGAAACCTCCTCCTAAACCGGGACCAAGGAACCAAAAGAAGTACACTAATGGTCCTCCAGATTGGCAAACAGCGGAGGAACATGTAAATTGGTAGAAAAGCAAAGGCAAATCCTATACAGGATCGTGTGAATTCTGTAAGGATTCAAGCCATGATGACACTCGGGAATGCCCTCAGTTGGTTCCGGAGAAGCGAAGGCCAGATTGGACATCCAAAACAGGCCTTTGGGCATACAAAATCAGTACCAGAGGGCGTGCAGGAAAATCCCTAAAACCCTCATTCCAATCTCAGCAATCAGCAATGCCTGCAAATATTGAAAGTCACAGAAAATGACTTCAGTATACTGGGTGCCTCGCTCAATCTCGCCTCAGTTGAAGCAGAACGAGATAGGCGTTGGCTGGCTGACTCGGGTGCAGCGTACGCAGTATGCAAATATATGAGCGATATTACCGATTTTAACCCTTTTACTGCCGAGGAAGCGAACGAATACGCATATTTGACGTCTAATAACGAGAGGGTAACCCCACTTGGACGAGGCAACGTCACATTGAATCTCCAGATGGACGATGGAAGCGTAAATAGCTTCATTCTCGACTGCATTTGGAACTCAAACGCTCTATGCAACCTCTTCCCAACCGAGAGAGCCAAGAAAGACTTTAAGATTTACCATGACTCTAAGAATCAGTGCCTCCGCAATCTCTATACAGACAACGTGGTTGGATACACTTACACAGAGCAGAATGTCCCCTTTATTCGAACAACCTCACAACCTGCCTCAACGATCGCAGCAGCCACTTCTCAACTTGATAGACCTCCCGCGGTCCTTCTTCACGCGCGATATGGTCACACAAACGTTGAATATCTCGCGAGAAACAAGATAAAGGTTAAAGGGGAGGAAAACGAGGAGATCAAACATTGTGAAGCATGCCGGCTCGCTAAGGCGAAGAAGAGAATATTACATAAAACAATGAGCCGTTCGTTTAAGCCATTACAGAGGATCCACGTCGATACTCAGGAGATCAAACCTCTGGGTGTATACGGATATCGATATGTATTGATTATCGTGGACGACTATTCACGATGTCTCTTTGTACGCCTTCTCCACCGGAAAAGTGACGCTTCTAAAGAGCTGAAAAAGTTGCATCTTCACTGGTTCAACCTTACTGGCAAAGATATAGCGATTCTGCACTCCGACGCGACACCTGACTTCAACGAATACAAAAAGTTCGCTGCAGAGAGGGGAACCGTATTCGAGGCAACAGCACCTCGCAGTCCTGAGCAAAATGGACCCTCCGAGCGCTTCAGTGGCTACATTGTACAGACTGCTAGAGCAATGAGGATTGCTGCAGATCTTCCTGCAGAACTTTGGCCATTTGCAGTTGAATCAGCAGTCCATATTCTGAATCGCCTCATCAGAAAGGGGCAGAGCCAGATGAAATCACCTACGCAACTCTTTCGAGAGGGATTACACCTATCGGGTGCAGAAACTAACCTTGACCATATTCGCATCTGGGGATGTAAGGCATACACATTTATTCATCCTGAAGATAGACAGAAATCCGCAAAAATGAGCGAGAGATCAAGGATCGGCTACCTCGTTGGCTATGTCAACGAGAACACCTACAAGGTCTGGTTCAGAGATACAGGCAAGATTATTACTACGAGAGACGTTACATTCGATGAGACCTTCAAAAAGACCGATAAAGATAACGATCTTGATCTTACAACCTCTAGAACTCCACTTCCACAACCTCCAGATGATGATTCAGGCGCTGCAGTAAAGATTATTGCACAGGACCCCCCAAACGAGCGAGATCTCATGAATAAAACTATGCCACAACATGTTCAGTCAATCGAGCAACATGAGACCCCTATTCGCGAAGCACTCCCTGCACCCGCCCAGAGGCAGCAAGAACAAGCTCAAGGCGTACGGATATCGGGGAGGAAGAACAAAGGTCAATTTCAGAGCGAGAGATTCAGCGATTTCCAAACGAGACCTACAGACCTCGCTAGAACGAGAGATAGCGATTCTCCCGATCCAATTGCTCAGGCGATCTTTCCAGCACTCAAAACCTTTGAAATCAAGGTTCCCGGAACCTATCAAGCAGCTATGAAGTCCCCGCAGAAAGATCTCTGGCAGGCAGCTATGGAATCGCAGATTTCCAAACTTGAAACTATCCCTGCATGGGAGACGGTTGACCTGCCTACTCCAAAAACCCGTATCCTACCGGGAAAATGGGTATATGACCTTAAAAGCGACTCAGAGAACAACGTTGAGCAATTTCGAGCACGCTGGGTCATCTGCGGGAATCACCAGCGATATGGAGTTGATTTCGATGAATGCTCGTCACCAGTCATTGTGGACCTCCTAGTGAAGCTATTCATGACCTTTGTGGCCACGAGAGGCCTCAAATGGCGCCAATTCGATATGGTAACGGCCTATCTCAACGCTGAATTGAAATCTCGAACAATCTACATGATGCAACCAACGGGATTCACCGATGGCCGCGTATGCAGATTGCTGCGCGCCCTATACGGGTTGAAACAATCCGGCCTTCTTTGGAATAAGGTCTTTGATCAAGTACTTCAAGATCTGGGATTCTGTCCCGCTGATCAAGATGCATGTTGCTATAAAGGGCCAGACGGGACTATCTTGATTATCTACGTGGATGACGCAATAATGGCAGGGCCGACAGACGAGATAATTACTTCATATATCTCGAAACTGGAGGCGAGATTCAGCCTCAAGATGATCGGCGAGCCAACACGATTTCTCGGCTATGATATTAAGCGAGACTACTACACAAATACCATTTTTCTTTCCCAGAAGGCCTACGCCACCAAAATAATTGCTCTCGCTAATATAGGGACCCGTGAAGCGGACCTACCAATGGCAGCAAGGTGGAAGCATACAGAAGACCTCCCACTATCTGAATCAGATAAAGCAGACGAATATCCACGCCGTACGGGACGCCTCAACTGGCTGACGAGAACCCGCCCCGATATCCAATTTGCAACCTCGTATCTCCTACGAAGGAACACGAAGGCGAATAAGGCAGATTTCGCCGCCAGCTCACACCTCTACCGCTATCTCAAGCGGTTCCCCGATAGAGGCCTTAACCTAGGCAAGATCCCCGCTGAATCGTTGTATGGATACGTCGATTCAAGCCATGCAGATCAAGAAGGCGCACGATCCACGGAAAGCTTCATTTTCTTCTATAAGGGATCGCCTATATCGTGGCAATCAAAGAGACAGTCCATCGTCGCACCCAGCTCTACGATAGCTGAATTTCTTGCGATGGATGCAGCCACTAAAGAGGCAATTTGGCTCAAGAAACTGATTGAATCCCTGGACGAATGCATCAGCGGCCCCATACAAATCTATAGCGATTCCGCCAATGCCATGTCGTTGCTAAGCAAACCTGCATACTCCACCTCATTGAAATGGATTGATCTACGCTACTTTTTCGTAAAGGAAGCGGTCGAGAATAAGCTCGTTGAATTTGCCTATATCGATACTGATCAGAACGTCGCTTACGGCCTTACTAAGGCCCTCCCCGGTCCGAAATTCAACCGATTCAGAGCTAGTCTCGATTAGGAAACAGAATTTGTTTTATTTTATTGCGTTCTTGAAGGAGTTGGACGTTGAATCGATCGAACGAGCGCCTTCGCCGCCATGGGAGGGGTGTGTTGGCGATACTGCCGCCGCAGTCCGCCTTCCCTATATGGCGGCTTGGCAAACCCACACATCTCAGTTAGATAGCGCTCAACCCCTTTTCATAGAGAATTCAAGCATTTCACTCCCGATTGAGTAGGCAATACAGCTATGTCGCTGTCAGTAGATATATATGAAAACTCCACGATTCCTTGCGCAATTGCATCCTTGACGAAAAAGAAGCGAATATCGAGCCAGCAGAGCGACGGGCAATAATTCGGCTTCTTGATCAGCGACAGGGCGTTAGCAGAATCGGTATAAATGAGTATAGGATAGTTAATGCTTTCGTCGGAGGCGCTGATCAACTTTTTGAGCCACATCGCTTGCTTCGTTGCGGAGTCCCAAGCGATAAATTCAGCGATTGATGAACTGGGAGCAACTATCGATTGCTTTTTACTCTGTCAACTGATCGGGGATCCTCTGTAGAAGAAAATGAAGGCCTCAGTGGAGCGAGATCCTTCGCAGTCAGTGTGAGATGAATCAACGTATCCGTATAGGGGTCCTTCGGGGTCACGTCCTAACACGAGTCCGCGGTCAGGCGTATTCACGAGATATCTGAAGATATGCAGTGCAGCATTCATATCAGCTTCATTCGGGTCCTTGTTCCTGCGGAAAATGCGATATACGGGGAATTGGATATCCGGACGCGTTTTCAGCAGCCAAATAAGGCGTCCTCCCCTTTTGCAAAAATCGGACTTCATCTCGTCATTCAGAGCAGAGGAATCGGACGGCTTCCAGCCAGGGAACATAGGGAATTCTGCTGGTTTGATGTCAGCGTTGAGATGCGCGGAAATCCTTTTAGTATAGGCCTTTTGGGAGATAGTAATGGTATTATTGATGTAGTCTCTTTCAATGTTGTATCCCAGAAAACGCTTGGGTTCACCGATCACCTTAAGCGTAAACTTTTGCTTCAATTTCTTAATAAAGTCGGAAATGATCTCCTGGGAAGGTCCTGCAACTATTGAATCGTCAACGTAGAGGATGAGGATAATCCCATTTAGTCCCATATAGAAACATGAGTTCGTGTCGGTAGGGACGAGTCCGAGGTCTCGGAGAACGTCATCGAAAACCTGGTTCCAGAGCAAACCCGATTGCTTTAACCCGTATAGCGCTCGGAGTAGTCTGCATACCAGAGGGAGTCCAGTAGGGGCGAATCCAGTAGGGGCTAATCCAGTAGGGTACATTATGTAGATCGTTCGGGACTTCAGTTCTGCGTTAAGATATGCAGTAACTATGTCAAATTGATACCATTTCAACTTCCTGACGGTCACGATCGCGATAAAGATCTTGACAAGAGCGTCCACGATTACCGGAGATGAAACTTCGTCGTAATCGAGGCCTTCTTGCTGCCAGTTACCGCAGATAACCCATCTCGCCCGGAACATCTCAACATTGTTGTTGGAGTCGTTCTTCAAATCGTATACCCATTTATCGGGCAAAATGCGTGGTTTAGGGGTAGGAATATCAACTATTTCCCATGCAGGTATGGCTTCAAGTTTGGCGATTTGACTCTCCATAGCGATCTGCCAGAGTTCTCGCTGCTTGGAATTCAATGTTTTACGGTAGTTGGATGGGACCTTGACTTCGTAGGTCTTTAGTTGTGGGGTAATCGCCTGCATCAAAAGATCAGGGAATTCGGAGTGAGAATTCCTCATTGTTCTCGCCTGATAGTCCTCGAATCTCTCTTCCGTACGCTGTCCTTTATTTGCCCTTGCAGAGATACGCGGGGGTTCCGCTGCCTGCTCACGTCCCTTTCTTTTATGAATTTGTACGGTTTCTCGGACAGGAGCAGGTTGAATCGCAAAGTCCGGAGTGAGGGTAATGACGCGTGGGTCAAAGCGGTTATCAGAATCAGCGTTTTCGATCGATTGAATTGGTTGATCTCGTCGATTAGTGTGTTCGGTAAAGTTGTATTCGATTTGCTGTAGTGAAGGAGGAAGGCTCAGAGGTTTAGAACAAGAGGATTGTATAGCGGTAGAACTGTCATTATTATCATTATCGTAATTAGCAATATCCTCATCAAATGTAACATCTCTGGCATTAACGATCTTCCCTGTATCGCGGAACCATATCTTATATGTGTTCTCGCTAACGTATCCAACAAGATGTCCAACCCTTGCTCGCTCTCCCATTTTTGCAGATTTCTTGCGATCTTCTGGGTGGATGAAGGTATACGCTTTGCATCCCCATACGTGAATGTGGTTGAGCGAGACTTCTGCACCTGGGATGCCAAGGCCCTCCCTAAAACGTTGTACCGGGGGCTTCGCGTCAGTTGATTCTTTTCGGATAAGGCGATTCAAAATATGAGCGGCAGATTCTATAGCTAGCGGCCAAAGGTTTCCTGGAAGACCTGCAGCGATAACTATGGTTCTGCCGTTTCAACAACGTATCCGCCATATCGCTCTAAGGTTCCATTCTGCTCAGGGCAGCGAGGTGCGGTTATCTCGAACCGTGTACCGCGAGGAGAAGCGAACTCTTTATATTTGTTGAAATCAGGCGTTGCATCAGAATGCATTATCGCTATATCCTTTCCGGTAAGGTTAAACCAATGCAGGTGTATCTGTTTGAGCGCTTCAGAAGCGTCACTTTTCTTACGGAGTAGACGGATAAAAAGACAGCGAGAATAATCATCTACAATGATTAACGCGTAGCGGTATCCGTAGATGCCTAGAGGACTGAATTCCTGCGTATCCACGTGAATCCTCTGTAGCGGTTTGGTTGCCTGGTTTATCGGTATATGTGATACCTTCTTCTTCGTTTTCCCACGGTAGCATGTATCGCAACTTTTAACGTTCTTAGGGTCTTTTACTTCCAAATCGTCGCTGTACAAGACCTTATTCCGGGCCAGGTATTCCGCATTTGTGTGAGCGAATCTCGCGTGGAGTAGCGAGGACGATATAATAGGGGCAATTAAGGCACATTTCATTGTAGGAGATAAGCGAAGATAGGGCATACCGTTATCGGTAAAGGTATATCCCACAATCTTGTCGGTTCGCATGTCCCGAATGCATTGATTTTTGGCGTCATGGTAAAGGTTCAGATCGACCTTTGCACGTTCTGCTGGAAAGAGGTTACATGGAACGTCTGGGTTCCAAATGCATTCTATCTTGAAGCAATTAACGGAGCCGTCGTCCATGCGTAAGCTGATTATGGTATATCCTTTGCCTCTAGGGACCACCCTCTCGTTGTTTGAAGTCAAATAGGCGTAGGTGTCTGCTTCGTCGGCAGAAAGGCGTTGAAAATCGGTAATTTCATTGAACCACTTGCATACCGCGTAGGCAGCGCCGGAATCAACCAACCAACGCTTGCCTAAGGGTTGGTAAATCGAGGATGCCTGAATGGTGGCTCCCGAGATGTTGAAGTTTGCGACGGAGTCTTCTGCCTGCGCGATTGCCGCGGCATTGGAGGTCGTATTTGAGGTTGTATCATTCGACTTTGCCTTCGTTTGTTTCCGCTTATAGATCCAGATATCAGATGCCTTCTTCTAATTTCCCAGTCATTTACTTGGAACGAGATAGGGACAATCGTTTGTATCGTCATGAGAGGTCTCGAAGCAGTATGGGCATTTGCCATCTAACGACTTGCCTCTATTTAACCAGTATCTGACGTGGTCCTCAGGGGACTGTCCCTTCCGAGGGAAACGACGAATATTCGTTTGTTTTGCTGGAGGCGGGGCAGTCATAACAGGGTCTATGATAGCTACACGATCAAGAGCTGCTTCACAGATTGACCAGTAGTCTTCCCATTTTAGCGTTTTGTATTTGGCCTCGTCCCAGAAGAAGAGATAGACCTCAACGAATGTCTTCATATCCTCGCTGAGTCCCTTAAAAAGAATGGAGATTGCTTGGCGCGGTATGCATGAATTTTTAGCGTCTATTGCTGCCATAGTCTTCTCCTTTGAAGCTTCGATAAATTGTGTCAGAGTGCCGTAGTCTGAACGCTTCACTTCCACTGATTCGAGGAAGATGCGATGAGACAGATTGTGGCCTGCTCCGACAACCGTCTGCTGGATGACCTGGAAGAAGTCATCAGGCCACTCATGAGGCTTCGGCGAATCGACAATTCTGGTAAAGATTTCGTCCGAAATGCAGTTAGATAGCCAAAATCTGATTCCTAGGGCCGCCTCCATCTAGATCTCGTACTTTGGATCCGTCTCAGCGGGCCGGGGTAGATCGGCTCGTATTAAATCAGCCAAACGATGGGCTTGTAGAGCAAATTTTACCTTTCCAGACCAGATCTTCCATCCATTTCGATCGTTCAGTTTATCGATCGGTTGAATAGCGACATTTATCTTGGTCGGGAGGTTTGTTGCTTGGGTCAGTCGGACGAGGCGTCCCAGAGGGTTTCCGCCTTCGGCCATTTTGTCGGTCTAGCTAGGGATCGTGAAATAAAGGTTTTGAAGCACTCCTCTTGGAGATAGGCTTGCTCAGAGAGATATGTGACTCTTAATCTGACAGTATGGCTGACGATGAAATTGGTGGAATGCTTAATCAATTCTATGCTTGATTGTTTGTTTGTTTGTTTGTTGTATTTTACGGCCGTGTGACACCGCCTAAGCACGTGTCCTACCGTCCCCTGTTGGGGCAAAGGCCGCCAGGGGGTGAGCCCTGGGCGTCACTAACTAGCTGCTAGTTCTATGTACAGATAGGGGACTTCGGCGCGTTTAATAGCTGCTTCAGTCAAAAGGAAAAGGTCTCTGCAATGCAGAAAAAGAGAGAAATGCCAGCTGCAAAGGTCTTCCTACATTCCGTGACCGCACCTACTACCAACAACGCATATTTTTTTTTTTTTTTTTGGGGGGGGGAAAGCCTCAGTCTGGTTAAGATAAGGGAGATCGAATATAGATATTCTCAAAGAAGCGGGTTTCAGCTAGCCAGGCAGCTAACTTGGCCGCGCCCTTTGGGGTATCTAATAGGAAGGGGATTGTCTCAGAGAGGGAACCTGGGAGTCGGGGCAGGCGTCTTTTGGCAATATAGCAGAAAAGAAAGTGGATTGAGGTTTTTCTTGCTCCGCAGCGGCAGAGAATGTGTGTATCTTCATGATTGAAACGTTCGTGATAAGTTGCGAAATCTCTATAACCCGTACGGGCCGCTAGAATCCGTGCGAGAAGGTGTCTCGGGAGTTTTAGCACTGCAGGACATCTAGGGGATTTGGCAATCCAGAGATCCTGGTAGGATTGCGGGACCTTGAGCTACCAGTATTCCTGAAAGGCAGATATGACATTATCCTTTGTCTGCCGCCTTAATGAGGCATACGAGTGTTTGCTTGCAAGAGAAAAGAGTATGCCTGCTCCCTTTTTGGCAGCCTAATCTGCTGTTTCGTTCTCTAGTATTTGCATATAATTAGGAATCTAGCAGATCCGGACGGAGCTGCTGCCGGTATATGAATATCGTTCCCGTACTGATCAGGATAAGGTAAGGTCTTGGAAAGTATTGAAGATCTCTTGGGATAACCCCGAAAAGGTTGAGAGAAGGCGTGTAGCTACCTCTAGGTTATCTAGGCAGATCCAAAGGTTAGTAGCAAGGTAGGCTGTAATTAGCTTAAGAGCTGCTTTGATTCTAGCTAGTGCTGCTTCGGCCTCTGCATCAAAGACCTCTTTGTTGGGATCTAGAGAAAAGGAAGACTGTTGGTATAGCTTTCCAGATTGATATAGGGCAAAACCCGCGCCTGCCATTCCATTTGCTAGCTTTGAGCCGTCTGTAAAGACCTTTATATCTGTCTGAGAAAAAGAGATATAGAAGTTCTGGAAACTGCTGGCCGCCTGTTCCTTGGTTTGGCCTGCTGGGGCTCTAATCCGTTATTGGGCTGCTTTACGCGACTCCTGCAGCAGCCAGGGGGCGTTCTGCAAAGGGTTTATTTGTTCTGACTTCGGCAGGGCTCGTACGCGGCGCGCAAAACGGCTTTTCTTAAGGCTTATACGGATTACCTCTTCTGCTCTCCTGCGGAGCGGGTAATAGGGGTTAAGGCGGCATATGCGGACTGCAGCAGTAACAACTCTATAGTCTAGCTCAATCTTTGCCGGTAGAAACCCTGACTCCCGGTAGAGAGCCGGTAGTGGAGTTGTGCGGTAAACTGGGAGAACTGCTCTAGCCCCTGCTAGTATAACTTTGGTCACTCTATCCAGGTGTCTCTGGACCCGGTTTGAGACTGTTCCTGTGCGTGAATCAGGGCGAGAGTAGCCTGGCCACCAGGTTTCAGTACCATAGTAGACTTTAGAGAGTACGCAGGCCTTGATTGCCTGCCGCATAAGGTAAGGGTTGATCCCTCGCACTGTATTACTGAGGGAACGGAATGCATTTGCCACAGTCAGGGCCTTTGAGGCCATTTCACGGACATGGTATTTGAAACTGAGCTTTTTGTCAAAGAGAATTCCCAGCCGGCGTAAGTACGGGCAAATTGTATTTTTTCTGACTGTAACAGTGCCTGCCGATACTGAAAGTATGCAGTTAAGGTTTTGATCAACTCGATGCCGTAAGAAATGTAGTAGCTTATATTTGTCCGGGGCGAAAGTTATCCCTTCTGATAAGCCCTAGTCCAGGGCCTCTTGTAGAGAGTTTGATAGGGATTGGCAGTTTTTTGCCAGAGTAGGAGATATTGCAAGAAATGCTGTATCGTTTGCATAGCCAAATCTGGCCAGGGGCTCGCCTAGCAGGAACAATGGGGCTATATAGAGCATAAACAGGATAGGGGATATGGGTGAGCATTGCGGCAGGCCGCAGAGGATGTCTATTAGGGGCCCTAATTCGCTATCTAGTCGGATCTGGACTGTGCGGTTTGTAATAAAGGAAGCTATCCAGCGGATCAGGTTGTTAGGCCAGCCCTGTGTGCGTAATCGGTAGATCAGCCTCCCAGGAAGGACCCCATCGAAGGCTCCTTTGATATCGAGAGTCAGTAAGGAAGCAGTCTTTCCTTGATTCAGTACTAACTCTGTATCATGCAGTAGGCATATAATCAGGTCGACTGCTGAGCGAAGAGGTAGAGCCCCAAATTGTTGGCTGGAAAGTATCTTATGATGGATTGCAATCTATGCCATATTCCGCGCCAGGAGGCGTTCCAGGCCTTTACCTAGGACTGAGAGAAGGGCAATCGGCCTGTACGATCTAGGGCTAGACCAGTCTGCCTTGTTAGGTTTCTAAATAATTGCCAGGATTGCGTGACGGGAACATTGAGGGTGATAGCCTACTGACAAGCAGCTTTAGAAGAGAGTAAATACTCTATTCTTGATTGTAGGCCATGCTATCTTGAAGATGCTAGTCGGTAGTTCATCCTTTCCTGGAGTTGTATTTCCTGTGTGCAAGATAGCTGTCGGTTGACTTGGTCATTGCCCTAAGCAGATATCCTATCGATTCAACTGAATATAGGTATATGCTCGGTGGGTAAAAGTGAAGTGTCATTCTAAACTACAATCTGCCTAGCTATTTATAGTTCCACTTGTTTACACCTATGCATTCCTGATCCCTTGGTATGCCGTTTGGAATGGTAAGCCAGGTCTAGGTCAAGCAAGGTGTGGTACGGTATGTGGATTAGGTCAAGATGCTCTACCTCTCTGGTCTGGTTGATAATATCGTTCCAACACTGGACCTACTTTAGAAGTGGTGAGAACATGGAGGTCAAGATATCGAAAACAAAACGTGCAGTTCCAGAATCCAGGATTTATCCCATTCTCCGATACTCAGGTGTTGCTCAATTCGAGCGTTCAACCCAACCAATAGCTTGCAAGTCGATGCAGTTCGTATCTATGAGTTGTCTTAAGGCGTTGCAGAGCTTGCTTTTTGTCATTATATCGGCAGGGTTAGAGTCTCCATCAATCCACTTGATATCCGTAATTTGGCGGCATTTATAGGCTTGTCGAAGGTACATAATGTTAATCATCAATCGTTTCTCTTGCGTAGATCCGAGCCGTACGAGGCAATCGTATAATGACTTCGATTCAGTGCAGAGTACGATTGGGATATTAGTTTGCAGTATTTGATCCAAAGTTGACTTGATTGCGAATGCAATATCTGAGCCGTGAGCCATGGCGTAAAGCTCTGATGCTAAAACACTGCGGGTAACACGCTTGCACTTGATAGAACTCCAATGAACAATGTTGGCATTTACGGCAGTAGTGTTGCTGGCGTTTCTCTTATCGGCTAATACGATAACATAGCCAATTTGTGAAGAGAGATCCTTATTATTGGCGAATGATGCGTCTGTAAAGACTAGCAGTTGAAGAGATTTCAGGTCCAGTTTGACATATTTAAGGCCTCTTGCGGCGTTCTCTAGCTGCCAGTTAAGTCGCTTGTTAAGAGATTCGGCATCTTTCTTGCTTGGATTGATCACTTGGGCAGCAAAAGATAAGTCGAATGAAGCTTCTGGCTGGCAGACAGAGGCAATATAGGTACCTCTTGCGCGTTCTGCAATATATCGATCTTTCAGGGTGCCTGGTGCCTGAGTGATTAGCTTGCCAATAGGTGACAGTTTGATGCATTGAATCTCCTGGGTAAGAGTAATCCTATCAGGTTCTAGCTTGACCATGCTGCCATTGAACTTCAAGGGCTTTTCAATGGTTAACTTCTCGCGGTCTTTAGCCAGAAATTGAGCCTTCTGTAGCTCAATCTCCTCAGATTCAGCGAACGTGGCATCTGCGAGAATGAGGGTATCATCAGTCTGAAGTCCAACGATGCCGAAACCAGTAGATTCTCTTGAATTGGGGCTATCCATGGTGTAGAGTAGGCATGGGTCGAATGTTGATTGACTCATCCGGAGGTGTTCCAGGTGATGGGAGTGATAGGTTCTGAACCAATAGTTCTCTGCTTCAGGGATTCCATAGAGAGGCTTGATAACCCTCATAACAGTGTTACTGGTAAGTCCAAGTTGATCAATAAGTTCCTTCGGTAGGCGCGCGTAAAGTTCTCGGTTAAGTTTGGTTGTTAATTGCACGTACGCTTGCGAAATATCGCGAAAATATAGCTGGGAATCTGTCATACTTGAAGCAATGCAGAGGATAAAGCGTTAGCTGACTCGCTGGATCGTAGAAGATTGTATAAGGATTAGATCCTTTCCCTGGTCATTATAGGCTTGTATAACCAGTCGTAATTTCTCGAATGCTCCTTCTGTTCCTTTATTCTTAATCTCATCAACAAATCGTAAATTGAAAAGTCTGACCCCTGGTAAGATATCTTCAATTTTGAGGAACTCGAATACTCCTTGTTCGAGTAGACCATTGATTTCCTTTTGCCTTGAATCGTAATATTGTTGGATACCGGGATTTCTCTCAGTTTGCAAGAAGACATTTATAGGCAAAG